TGGAGTCACACCAGTACACTGGCATCCATTGGGAGAATGAGGGGGCAAGTGGAGGATTTAAGTTCCATATGATAGTGTAATTAAATGGAAACAAGGCAACAATTGGTGCCTCAGAGAAATCTGAGGTTTAATGTTGCTTTTGAAAACAACTGGCTGCTCAGGACACATTTTCTATATCTTTTCAAGCCCTTTCCCCTTTTCCTTCCTGCTGTTTTACTTGCAATGCTCTTCAAGTGCATGTGTTTTGACCTATTTCTTCTGCCTCTGCCTAATGAAGTACAAGAATACTTACTGCCTATTAGATAATGTATTTCTTCATAGGTTTGCAGATGCTCTTATGCATAGACACATGTCCTGAGGGCTTCACTTTGGTTGGCAAATAGCACTTCCTAATGTGCTCAACACTTAAGATTGCGTTGGACTTGCTGGCAGGGAGGCTGTCTCAGCCTACCTGGGTTACCTCTGCAACCTGTTTTGCTGTCATATGTTTTGTTTGCTTGTGTGCTGTCTCCCAGATGGAGTAGAGGAGTACTGCATAGCCTGAGGCAGGAGAAAGCACTCTGCAATCCCCAGAAAAGGCAGTCCCTAGGGACTGTGAAAGTAGTCACAGCCTGATGTAGTCCTTTGGTTGACCTTGTATTGAAAAAGTGACCTCAAAACTAGGTGGGGGTTGCATGTTGTGAGCTCCAGACACTGTGGATTCTGATGAAATGTGCTACAGGCACTCACCAGATTTTTTCAAAGCTCCTGGAATAGGCTTTAGCAAGTTGTCTCCTGGCAGTCTCTGGAAAAAATATCATGCAACCAGAAATCAGTGACTAAAGCTATGTAAGGACTGGTGCTTACTACAGCTGGGGCAGTAAATGCAGTGGAGACCAGTCCCCAAGCACCTGGGGCAAGGGGACTGAGAGAAGCTCTACAAAACAGAGTTGTGCTCAGACGGATTTCGGAGCTCAGTAGCAGAGATTTGGGCATGTGTGCAACTCAGGGAAGCAGTCATGGTGTGGCGTAAAGATCAGGATCAGACTGTGAAGGTAAATAGTAAAGCTAGAAGATGAGTGAAGAAGGGATGTTGTGGCAGTCTGTATTTCTATAAATGCATTCATCTCCCAAAGAAATTAATGAAGGATAACCATTCTCTTGCATTTTTAGCTCTAAGACCAGAGGTGTATGATAGACTGCATGGTGCATTGCCTACACAAGGCTTTCTTAGTCATCTTGCTTGTTGGATTGCTGGGGAAGAAATCTTTTTTGTGATGCTGCAACTTTCCATTCTCTTTATTTCTTGTTCTCCACAGTTTTGCTTTTCCCACGTTCAACAGTTTTTCCTGTAATTTCCTGTAATATTTCTCTTTATTTGTCTTTGATTTTGCAAGCTGGGGTAGAGGCTGCAACGTTTTCTTAATTTAGTAATGACTCAGGAGGTACATGGTTTCTCCTGGAACTAAAATATGAATACATTTTATTTAGATTTATTTTAGTTATTGTTTTACGTTTAAAGGTTTCTGTGGCTTTTGTGTTTGGCTTGGGAAGAGGTTTGTGTCTCATGAGAGTTGATTTTGAACTAAAAGAGCAAATTTGCTGACTTTTTGGTCTGATGCATTGTTTTCACTTGCAGGAACATTCATTTGACTTCCTGCTAGTCATCCATTTCCAAAGCATTTTGAAAGGTTCTTATTGTTGTCAAAACATTTGTGTGCAATAGACTATATCCCAGCAATTCCTTATACTTTCCTTTTACTTTGTACCACGTAAATTCATTGGTGTTGCAGATTAGTTATTAATTTCTTGCTTGTACAGATTATTTGGAAAACACCTAGGAATTAAACTTTTTTTGCACTATATCAATTAATCAAATTGCTATTTGAATCCTTGAATTTAGTTCAACATATTTAAGTGACAACAAGCATCAGCTTTCCTTTTGTTGTTGGTATGGGACAGGTACAGTTGCCAGAAGAAACTGAAATTACATTACTGCAAATTAGATTATTATATTACTTGACCAATGTGGTGCAGTTTATTCCAGATAAAATGTATTCAACCATCATAGATGCAATTCTTTTGTATTTCTTACATGCACTGCCTTTGATTAAAGGGAATATAACTGTGAGCCAGCAGGTTCTCTGTTCACAGCACTGCATTTCCTATGGACTTTGGGCTGCAATTGTGAATGCTTAGCTCTTCCTAGAGTTAGATGCCTTGTGCAAGGCTCCCAGAAAATGACAAGCACATAACTTGCACCCAGCTATAAAATCAAATGGCCTCCAAGTCATCACATAACAGCACTGTAGGAAAGAACATTGCATCTGTCTAATCTGTCTTCAGAGGTGCATTGGTAACTCGAGTTGGCCTCTCTCTGAGCCAGTGGCTCAGTCCCGCCAAGACTGCGTTTGTGTTCTTTACCCCTGTGTCTTTCAGCCTGACCAAAGGTCCATGATAGACTGTTATCAATACCCAGGTATTAGCTCATGCCCGTGAACTCATGCACTAAAGATGGAACTGCGGCACACACATCCTGTCTGGAACAGAGGCAGGAATAGCATCCATTTCCTCAAGGTTTCCTACATTCATCTGTGATGAATAGTCCCAACAGCTTGCTTTGCAAAAATCTGGCACATCCTGAGAATAAGTCCATCCTGTATACTAAACAAAGGCAGGGCCTTGCAAAATAAAGCAAGGCCAGAAACAAAATAATACTGGACAATGTAATTTTAGACTGTCCTGAAATGTACAAGCAAGGGGACTGACATGAAGTCACATAATCCGTCTTCTGGTATTTCATGCCTTCTGACTCTTTTGTTGTGCAACCTTAGTAACTTTTAAAAAAATTGGTTTTGTGCCTATAATACTTAGGTGAACCAAAGGGTAAGGACTGAAGAGATGAGAGGTAACAGGAAATAGGTATCGCAGAGTTAAATAAACTAACTTTAGAAGGCAGGTGATTTACCTGTGTACTTGAAAGCAGCTTGGTTTTGTAAAGGTCGGGATGTGAAGAGGGAAGACCTCGGGAACCTCTTGGGCGAAGGGGAAAAGTACAAAAGTATTTTCAGCTCAAGGGAAGACAAATTATAGAGGACGGAACTTTAGTTCCCAGGTCAGAACACGCTGAAAGCCACATCAGCAGACTACAGAACGGGATAGTCCCTTAAGAATAGATAAAATTCCCAGGGTTTCAATCTGTTATTTTTATTACATGTACTCACAGGCGGTAGAAAACTGCTGCTGAGAATAGACTCCACCTCTAGTCATTCACAGTGATAGCCATAAAAAAAATGAGCAGTGCTTCCAATAAAGGAAGCATCTTGTTCTGATACAATGCTAAAAACATACTGTAAGCTCACTGAAGCATCATATAGAAAACTTTCTGATTAGAAGTGGTTAGGATTGTAACGATTGAAACAGGAGAGAATAATTAAATTATTAACAAAGCCTGATTTTTTTTTTCTAGCATGATACACTCCTCTAGGTAAAATACAGCATTGATGCAGCACAGAATTCCCAACAAACTGATTTTTTTCATCACTAGCAAAATTATTTATTAACTTTCTTTTCAAATAGTAAGGTCCAGCCCCACACTGTTGGGTGCTGAGCTATGGAGAGATTTTCCAGGAGCCCCATGACTCGCTCCTGCATTGATCACACAGTGTGGGGCTCCATTTTGCTCCTGGCAGCAAGCTCTTCAAGGAGGTAGTTCTTCCCCTGAAGGCTTTCGCTGGGGATAGAGGGCAGAGGTGCTCAGGGAGGGAGAATGCTGCCCCTGAACTAGGTACAATGTTTTTCAGCTTGCTTGGTTCACCCTCCCCCGCACTCCACACCTCGACACACAGTCGGTGACAATGAGTTTGTTAATTAGATGGTAATTCCCGGCGGCCGAAGAGAGGTTGGAGTGCAGGGCGTGGTTCGCTGTCCCCTGCTTTGCGGGACTCCCCCTGCTCGGGCTGCCCCTGGAGGGAGGAGGAGAAAGAGGAAGAACCGAGTTTGCGGCTCCACCTAGAAGTTGGTCAGAGAAGATAAACTCTCCACTGAGGGTAAGAGACAGCAGCGCTTTAATTTTTTTTTTTTTTCGCGTGAGTCTCTCCACCCCCTGGAAGGTATTGGTATAAACGGAGGAGGAATTTGAGCAGGCTCGAGCCAAGTAATATTTCTGTCTAAACACACAACGTGCTTCCTCCTACGTTTTCGTTTCCAGATGGGGCTCAGCTGAACGAGCCCTCCTCTTCAGCCCTGTCGTAAGCACCACCATGTGGGAACCGGGCTGGAGCTGCCAGAGGCTGCAGAAGCAGCCAGGGCGGCCCTGAGCAGAAGCAGCGAGCTCTGCCCTCTTCTCTGGGATCATTTAAAGATAAAGTACCTGCTCTGTTGACAACCGGTGAGTGAATACCCCTGCTTTATAAAGTAAATCCTTGCAGAGGCTGAGAGGGTGTTTGGATGTCGTGTGAACCCGTAGGATTGGGTGCGCTGGCAGTGCTTGTTCCCGGGTTTGTAGGACATAGGATGGTGGTTGAGAGACTTTCGGCGGTTGGACATGAATGGGTCTCGGGGGTCTCTCCCAGCCTTAACTATTCTGCGCTCTTCTCACCAGGCTCTCGCGTCATTTCGGACGGGAAAGCTTCCTGTTTTAACCTCGTGTAGAGTCTATATGCATGCTTCTAATTTTAAAACCTCCTTCAGGTGAATACTGGGTGGCAGCAGCTGCCAACAGATTGCTATTCAATGTAAATTACCGCGTATTGAAAGGCAGAGCTGGCTATTCCATCAGCGTGTTCCTCGGTGAAAGTATTCAATGAATTAAACTGAATTTCCAGAGGCATGGAGCCTGCCTCTACAAGCCTCCTTTGAAGAGAATTCAATTTTAATCGGCTTGAGAGCTGGTGATATGAGACATCCAAGACCTTTCCCAGAGATTCCTGGGAACTTTCTGGCTAAAAAATTCTAACACCGCGGTGCAGCAGGGAGCCGGTTCTCGGTGGGGATGAGCCCGAAAGAAGCCGGAGCGCCGCCGCCCCCCGCCTTCCCGGCCGCGCTCGGATGCGCCTGATGCAGTGGGCGGACGGCCGGGGCCGGCGGGCGAGGCCGGGCTGAGGCGCTGCCCGGGGCCGCATGCGGGGCCGGGAGTCGCCCCCGGCCGGAGCGGGGCCCGCCGGCGGGCGGCGGGGGAGGGTCCGCCGGGCGGCCGAGCGGCTCCGCACACACAGGTAGGCGGCTGTGGAGGGCCGTCCGTGGGAGAGGGGGAAAAGGGCCGCGTTTCCCCGGCTGGTCCCGCCGTGCGCGGGGCGCGGGAGCCGCCCGCCTGTGCCCGGCCTCCCGGAGCAGCCCCGCTCGCAGGCCGGGGCGGCGGGAGGAGCCGCCGCGGGACCCCTCGCGGGTCGCGGCGGGAGCTCCCGGGGTGGGCAGGGCAGGGCTGGGGGAGAGCGGGCTCATGCGGGCAGGACAGCCCCGGGGAGGGGGAGCCTCCCGGCGCTGCTGGCGGCGGTCCGTAAGTAAAATTTGAGGGGAGATTCGCGGCTCCTGCTAAGCTGCTTGGGTCGGGTAATCCCATCGTGTTGCCATGGCTGCCGGTCAGGCAAGTTCGGATAAAGGGTTGCCTCTGGCGAGGGTACCCTTGGAAATGCCGAAGGCCTCGGGGAAGGAACAATGGCTTTGTGGGCAAACTCGGCTTTAAGCTATGCAAATCCATTACTTGTAGTTCAGGAAGAAACAAACCCTGGAAGTTTTATGTCCTCTGCCTTTTTTTTTTTTTTTTTAAGTATTTGGATTATTATTTGGCAGTCGGGGTGGTGTTTCTATTTTAGTTACAGCAAGCTGTGAGATCAGTCCTGCTGTCCTTTATCAAATTAAAATTTACAAGGAGATGAACAGCTGATCCATTGGGATTCGTGGCTGTTGTGTTCTTGTTACCCAGCTGAAACTTTCTGTCCTGGTTTCTTCCGTTTTTGTCTATCTCTTCTTCACCCACGTTATACTGAGCTGTTCTTGCAGACAGTTTGGTTCCAGAACTATTAAGAAAAGGATAAACTTTGTGATGGGATGAGATTGCTTGTTTTAACCTGTTAATTCTATTACAGTGGAACTATGTAAAAGTGTAATACATAAAAATATCTGTTGTATAGAGTGCCATGGTAGTAGAGTGTGCCATGGTCACACCTAAACTCAAAAAACTAAATTCACAGTAAATTAAAGTAAAAGGAAGTATATAGGGAGCAGGGCTTCTTACCCGTTAACAAGCAGTACTCTTATATGATTAGTCTCAGAAGTGATATTTATGAATCTAAAACAACGTTCCTTTCTTATGTAGGGTTGCACCAGCTGTGTGTTTGTTTTCTTCTCACCTACATGAAATAATCTATGGATCTTTTTTCCCAACCTGATGCACTACCTGCTTCTTTAGTACATCTGCCTCTGCTGAACTGAAGCAGTCCATTAAATTATTCTTTAAGCTTATGACTCTTGATTAAAGCAGCAGAATTAAAAGTTGGTAAGCCTCATGGGCTCCCTGAGGGTCATCTTGGCTTTAGATGACCTCTTTTTGTAGGATGTATAAATGATGCTCTGTGGAAGCAGTTGCCAGTTGGGGAAGTGCCTGTGGGAGCAACTGCAGAGTGTGCAGTCAGGAGAGTAAAACCTGGAAGATGGCAGAACGATCACATGTCCTGACTTACAGACTGGTGGGGAAATAGGTGTTATGGTAGACAAGGGCAAGACATGATGTGTAGAGTGTGCCCTGCTAAATAATGACTTGAGCAATTATGAAGGGGAGTTTCCCCCCTGAGGAAGGATATACAGGGGCTGACATGGTGAAGGGTCTTATTTGCAGTGGGAAGTGCTGGAGATGCTTCTCCTTCACCATCTTCTCAGACGCTTGATAACTTAACAGCAGAGACAGTTTTAGAGGATTTGCCATGATTGCTTTCTCCTTGCGTGATCGTTTTTGGATCATTCTTATGACGTTGTTTGTGCCATTAATGCTTTTATCTCAGGCTTGTTTCTTTTGTTAGTTTCTGGGCACACCATGATTAGTGCCTTTTCATAAAGATTTGATCCATCCTTCCGTGACAGGTTTGGAAAAGTTCTCATAAACCTGCTTTGGCTAACGTGTGGTTTTCTGCTTCTTGCTTGTTGCTTCATGGTCTCTGAACCAGTCCCTAGGATATTTTGGCCTGGAAGAGGATGCCATCAAATGGATCCTTTGAAGATAAAAAAACCACTATGGGTCTCCATAAGACAGTCTATACCATTGACTCTAAGGTGCTTCTGAGGAAAGGCTGTAATTTTTTTCCTTCACAGTATAGATTGAGCTGTAGGACAGGATCTTGGTTTGTCTTTGTATGTTAACATTGAGGTTGTTTCACTTATAAGCATGGAAGGTTGGTTTTACTGTGTATATGATGTGAGATACTCTACTGTGTCTGCCTAGTTAAGTGCAGTTTAGGAACGGTCTCAAGGTTAGTTGAAATACCTCTCTCTACAGACATCTTTCCTTACAGGTGTTTGCACTATTTTAGCTAAATTGGTTGAAATGTGTGTTGCAGAGGAGTTTAATTTATCAGACTTAATGGAATCTAATTTGTAATTCATTTGAATAATTTGTTCATCAGTTTCTTTAGCTTTATAGAGAAGTTAGTAAATAATACTGGGAAACTAATTTATGAGGTAATTGAATGTACAGGATTTTTTTCATAGCCTGTTTTCTAACCATTTAATTACTCAAAATACCAAGAAGAGAATAAGAACCCCCTGAACTTCCCCATTAATCTAGTTTCTTCTAGTTTTGCTGTGTTTCGTGTGATCACTTTTATACGTATTCATAGCCTTCAACGGAAATTAAAATAGAACTACTTTTATGTATTATTTGTTGTGTGAACTTCCTAAAGTGTCAAATCTTTATCCTACTTCTACAGAAGAGCCTAAAACTTCAGCTTTTCTTGATGTTTATTAAGGTTGGGAGGAAAATATGACGTGCAGGCTGTTGTTTCCTTTATAAGTCACCTTTCAGTAGTGTGTAGAAATTAACCTGTTCTCACTTTACAGTTCAGTGTATTCATCACTGGTACCAGTAGCTGCTATCTGTACAGAAAGGTTGATGGGCAGTGTTAGCTAATGGGGGTTGTGAAGCAAAAAGAGGGACCATGTAGTTTGCATGCAGTACCACTGTCGCTTGAAAAATGGGTAGAAAAAATGCAGGTGCAGAACGTGGTAAAATATTTTGCAGCAGTGCTTGTTGCTGCATTCTGTACTTGACATCTGAAAATACCATGTCCTTCTAAAGTTCATTTTGTTCAGGTGGATTGACTCTTCAGTGCTCCAAGTTGGTTATCCTTTGTCTTGAAGGCAAAAGTGAAGCCTTGGTATCTCAAGAGGAAAAACCCTTTACAGCTCTATTACAGAGTGAGCAAACTGTGTGTCCTCCTGATAATACCCAAAGTTTGTGAGTAACTGTTGTCTGTTACCTCTTCTCAGCCCCAGCAGCAGCATGGTGTGCTGGAGGTGTTTTTTACATTCCAGCATAAGTGGGCAGCCAGGAGAGGCAAGGCAAGGACTTGAATGCTCCCTGCTTGCCCTGGCTGAGAAGGGAAGGCTGAAAAATTCAGGAGCCACAAAGCTGATCCTCCCTTCTGTTAGGAGGGCAGGAATGGAGCAACCATGGAACTGGTTTTAAGAGCAGCAGGAATGAAATGAAGGTCAGTCTTAATCATTACAGCTCCTAACATCTGTTGATTTAAAGTCCAAGTTTCCATTCCCCTAGTAGGAATATTGCTTTCTTTTGGGCCACTAGCCAGTAGGAAACCTTGTTTGTGAGGTGTGTGGCTAGCAGTCTTAGATTTCCACTGACTGTTCAACTCGCTTTTAAAGAACAGTTTCTAGCCCTCGTGGGTACAGGTCAGAAACAGTAAAATAAGGATTAGCTGCTGCAGAGCACAGAGGAGTGCTTTGTTAGGCTGGATCTGCAGACTGACCCAGCACAGCAGTATCCAGACGCTGCTTTCTGTTCCTGCTCTTCAGGGTCCTTGGCTAGCAGTGAAATGAAAACTGTGTGAGGGGCATGTCATCAGCTTACCCAGAGTCTTGGGAGAGGAAATACTTATGTGATGGCCATTTAATGGTACAAAATGTGCATGTGTAAATTACAAATGAAATCGCATGTGGGATGGGGGAGAAGCCCCTTTCCCAGGATAAGAAAGGAGTTGAAGTTATGTTTTTGCCTTTTTTTTTTGTTTTGTTTGTTTGTTTGTTTTTTCCCCCCATGGTTAATGTAGGTCCCTCTTGGGCAGCTAATTTTTGTAGGTGTGGAGTGCTGACAGGGTTTTTTTGGCTCTGCAGTGACCTGTGAAGGAGAAATTATCTGTCTAGGGAAAGGAGCATAACAGCACCCTGGCATAGCACAAGGGACAGTGTGGGGAAGGAACCTGTGGGTTTTTCTCACTGCAGTGGAGAGGGAGGAAGATGTTTGCTGCCCAAGAGCTGTTGTTGCTGAATGATACCTCATTTACCATCTGGCAGTTAAACTAGGTATTTCCTGTTTCTTTGAAGTTCTGGAGCCTGCCAATCCATGTCCTCTGCCAGTGTCACATCTGAGCACCCTGGAAACATTATCACCTTTATCTTTTCAGTGCTTCAGGTAGTTTGAAGTCCTCCTGTGGGACTGAGACCAGGAGGAGTTTAGTGGTGTAGATGGGAGATAGGCTGTAGGGTTTGTTTGAATGCAACATTTGCATAAGATTAAGTGGAGCCACAATATTAAATCTACTTGCTGAAGCATGAGAACGAGTTAGGATTTGTCTAGATTGCTGAATGTGCACAAGTCTTGCTAGCGTGTAATAGCTCGTCTTGATCGTGCCCCTTGTGTAGACAAGTTACTGCCTTCTCATTTGACTGTCTGGGAAAAGCCTGGGGGTTCTTTTGCTGGAAACAGTTAAGGGAAGACTACAGCTAGCTCTTCTTGCCCAAATGTTTTGCACTATTTGATGAGGCATGGTGACTATTACTTGCCTCAGCTGAGAATCTGGAAGGTTATGTAAGCCTATCTTTCAACACACCCCACTCCCCCCAATGGCAGTTTTAATTCTCCATTCTCAGTAAGTTGAGGGCCCTAGTAGGCCTGTGTCTGTGGTGAAGTACCCCATGGTTCAGCAACTCTGATATAGCAGAACCACTTCAATCTCATTTTGTGGGTTTCCTGTCCTTTTTTGTGCCCTTG